CACGGCCTGTGCGGGCGCTGCCGGGCCAGTGCGGGCCAGGGGCTATTTTTTGATCACTTAGACATATTTTCATGGTTTTCGACCCCGGATGTCGTCCACACTCTCCGGAATTTTCTCGATAAGTTTTTTTTTTCCCGGCACTAACAGGTCGGTACCGCCACACCGCACATCCAAAAAAATTTTTTTGAGTCATTTTCTTTTTTCTTATCCGCTCCTTTATAGTCGACAAAGTTGAGAATAAGGGGGAGAAAACATAGCATGTCGCAATAAAAGCTTGATTCTCCATTTTCTTTCAAAGCAGCAGATTTGACTGATTCACTTCCTGTCCTCGGAGGAGGCGTATCCATATGATGGCATTTTTTCTTTCGTGGCTGGTGAGCCTCATTTTATAGATAGAAATCCCCCCCTTGAACCCCTTAAGCTTTAAGATGACTTTAGCAATAGGATTACTAGAGCCGTGCCCTTGTTGGAAAGAAGGGGAATAGGTGTCTTCGGCCGAGGTGCCGTGACTGTGGGGAAAGGGCCGTACCCTTCTATGCATGTGGGGATTCCAATTCCTAATCCTAGGCCTCGCTCGTCCCTCGCTTCATAGGAATAGTACGAATCCTGGTCATCGCTTGAGTGAGTGGCCGATCTTATAGAGTTAGAGTTAGACAGTGAAAGATGAAGTCAGGTAGAGAAAGAGCAGGACTCATTTAACATGTTCGGCAGGCCCCTTTCAAAAATCTTTTTTTCTGCCGATGAAGTAGATTCAGAATGAAAATTAAGGAAAAACAAAAATTCCGACCTGATAGTTAGAAACTCCTATAGGGATCTTATTTCCCATACTGGGAGATAGTTGGAAATATAGCTCCAATCTATACGAATAAGAAACTCGAAAGAGAAAGAAACCTATGAACATTCATTCTATGCTTCAACGAGTAGTTTAATCAGACTCATTAATTAGGCTAGAAGAAGTTTCATTTTTCCATTTCCCGTTTATTAATTCACATGAAAAAAGTGATAATAGATCTCGTCAGTAATCTTATTTTAAAAACATATAGATAGGTACTTATGATTCATTAGTAGGAGAAAAACCTTATGAAATTGTCAGTTTCCTCCTCTTTTTGAGGCCTTTATGACTTCACTTTGCTTCGCTTCGTTCGTTGGGTTCGAATCCCTCTCCATCCGCGAGGTCATAAGTTCTCTCTTGCCTTATCTATAGAGTTGAACGAATCGGATCGACTCGACTGATATGATAGATTACATGGATAGCTTGTGTTATGATATAGAAGGAGGTTCTTGTGTTATTCTTTTGTTAGGACTTTGACGAATTCGAATGTAGGGATTGATTTGGAATCATTCGAAAATGTTTACCTTTTTCGTTTTTATAAATATCGTAATATATACTCTGCCTTACCTTCTGTCTTCGTTTGCGCTCCCAGCGCTTTATCTTTCTCAGTCTTATTTGTACTTTCGAAAGAAAGTGGATTTATGCTTTTAGGTTTGTCCGCAAGGGCGAGCTTTTTCGTTTTTCCTCTTCTACTTTCTCTTTCTGGCGTTGGAAGGGCAAAGGCCGAAAGGATGGATACCGAAAAGGCGGGATTGTTGTAGACTTTGCTAAGGCT